TCCACACTCTGGATCTGAGGAGCCAGCACCCCTGGGGTGTCCAGCAGGAACATGAGCGGCCGCTCACACACCTGTGGGCAGGGAAGGTGGCGGGTCAGAGCTCAGGAGGCCTCCTGCAGTCCCCGGGCTCGAGGCCCCAACCTGCCCGCCCAGCATGGCCACGGCACCACAGCGGGCCCCCTGCAGGGCCCCACGTCCAAGGGAGGTGAGGAAGTAAAAGCAGGAGCCCATGGCTGCCACCCCCAAGGGAGACGCCGGCGGGGCCTCTCCCTCCTTAGCAGGACAGGGCCCCGCATGCCCTCCCCCAGTGTGGTGTGAGGACGGCACAGCGCTCGGCGGACAGGGCGGTGGGGGCCCCACCTGAATTCTGGACATCACAGCTCTGGTGACCCCAGGCTCACCGCCCACCCTGGTGGCTTTTCCTGCAAGATGAGAGGGGATGTCAGTGTCTGTTAATCACGCGGGCAGGTGAGTGACAGAATGAGCAACGAAACCATGGAAACCTAGGAGGGCCCAGCGAGCCCACCACAGTGACTCCTCGCGCCAGGACAGAACCGCCTCCTGGGGCCCCGGAGGCCCCCAGACCTGCTGAGGGATGACCGTGACGGCCAGACCTGAGCCGCCCGACAGCATCACCCTCCTCCCCGTGGGACTGGCCCGCACCTCTGCCCCCAGCACCGCCCCAGCAGCCGGGGTGCGTCCCAGGCAGACTCCCCACCTCTGCTGGACCAGTGCGGGAGGAAAGGGTGTGTGTGTCCATCAGCACGTGGAGGGATAAACAAACGTGGTCCATCCACACGGCGGAATGCCATTCAGCCTTAAGACGGAAACTGACTCATGAACGTGGAGGGGCCCTGAAGAGTTACACCTGATGCAGGAGCTCAAGTCTGTGTGACCCCAGCTGCGAGGTCCCAGATTTGTTAGGGCCACACAACAGACTGGACCAGAGGTTCCTGGGGCCTGGGGGCAACTACTGCTTAAGTCTAGAGTTCCAGTCTGAAATGACGGAAAACGCTGGGAACAGGCAGTGTTGTGCTTGCACAGCACTAAATGCATGTAAGGCCAGTGATGCTCTTTAAGCCACAAGTAAAGAAAAATAAACAAGCAAATGAAAGCCTGTGACAACAGGTCTCCCGCCTCTGAGACGATGGCTCAGCCTTCAGGTCTGTTCACAAAGGACCTTCTCAAGCAGGAAATAAAGCCGTGGCAGACTCGGTGTGAAGGTTTAACACTGGGGAGAGGGAGGCTGGGAGCCAAGGACAGGCCTGAAACACGGAGACGACCTGGACAGCCTCCCCGTCCCACCCCAAGTGTCTGTCACGCCCTGAGCACCGTGGGTCAGAGACTTAAATGAGGACAGGGTCGCCAACATCTGGATTAAACATCCTAATGAGATGTTTAATTTTAATGAGAGAAAACTAATTAAGTATAAAACATGTCAGGGAATGACCATCTCAGCAGCTGACCACACACCAGGCTGTCGGTTGGGTCCTCCGGGTGCAGAGACCCCTGAGCAGCTGGACCTACAGACCATGAAGCGTCATGTGCCCTGGGAAGTACCTTTCCTTAGGTGCTGTCTCCGGAGGGAGTTGATGAGGGAGGACTTGCCCACATTGGGGACCCCGATCACCATGATGCAGTACTCCACGTTCTGGAGGCACAAGGGCAGGGGTCAGGGGCCCACCCAGACCCCACCTGGACCCCACCCGGCCCACACAGAGGGACCAGGGACTTGCAAGCCCCGGCCAGCTTAACAGGAAGGAAGGTCACTGCAGGCCCTGCCCACCTCGATGGGGCCGCATCACCCTGCCCGCTGAGAACCAGAGGACAGAGGGGCTCACGGGCTGGGGGTGGTCCCCCACTGCTCAGCAGCTGAGCCTGGGCCCCTCAGCAAGGACTCCCCGCGGCCAGCACCAGGCCCTCCCACCCACCTCTCCTCGATGATAGCGGTAGCTGCTCCCAATCAGCTCCGTGACCGTCGGGATGATCTGCGAGAAACAAGATATACTCGGGCCCCTTCCTGCAGAGCCCTGGCCCCTCCTCCGCTCCTGCAGTGGCCACCCCAGCGTCCCGCACCGGACTGCTCGGGTCCATCCACGTCACAGGCTCAGGCTGCACTGGGGGACCCTGTGCCCCTTCCTGTCCCCCCACCAGGACAAGCAGGACAGTCCCCACCACCAGCTAACAAAGACGCACGCTGGCCAGTGGACTTCTCAGGCACAGCTGGGGAACAAGGTGCGAACTCTCCAGCAGCCCTTCCGCTTCATGACCCAGCGTCGCTCCACGGCCTGACTCTGCTCCCCCAGCTGCTCCCGGCACTGGGAGACAGGTGTGCCCAGCAACCCAAGCAATCCACGGATCACCTCCAGAACTCTTCTTACGAAGTACAAGGTAACTCACAGTGTTTCTTATTGAAGCAGAAGCATCAGAGCACAAAACAGAAGTTACCTGCTTGACATTTTCATCCTTCACACAGTTGGTGAAAATGACATTTTTTAGACCTTCTCCTTCTAAGTGGTGTATAATTTTCTGAAAGACAAGACATTTTCATTTGAAACACTGAATGAAGAGACGGGCAGTGTGATGCTTAAGATCCAAGGTCTGCTCGCCAGCTCAGAGCCACTGAGGCCCAGGGTCCAGCGAAGGACTGGCCCAACCTCCAAGCTCCGGGCAGCGAGGGGACGATGGAGCACCCTGGACAGCACAGACCGCAGAGCCGACGGCCGCAAAGGAGGGCAGCCTGGCCACAGGGTGGCCCTGAGCAGCTGGCTCCGCATGAGGACACGGGGAAGAAGGCTAAACCAGGTCATCTGGAGTCACTCCCAGCTCTGACGTCGTACGGTCCAGCCCCCATTGAGCGACCCCCTTAGTCCTGCTAGGGAGCGCCCCTTAAAGTACAGTTTGAGCCCAATCAGATTGCAAAGTACATGTAATTCTTCAAAAGCCCAGAAGTAAATTAGGTTCACAGGAACTCACTGGTCTCAGAGATAAGCAGCTCAGCCTATGACTTCTATCTTTAAAACCAGTGTTGTGCTGTTTGACCAGCTTCTGATTCACTTAAAGGAACAAGAAAGTCATTCATTAATTCCACTAGTTTCAGTTATTTATTTTATTCATTACGATGCAGATTGCGGTACAGGCCACCAGAGACACACATGAAGCCACACGTCAAGTGGGGCGTCCCCACCCGCTGCGCAGAGGCAGACGCAGGGGCTCCCCTCCTCCAGAGCCCTCAGCCCCAGCACCTGAGGAGGAAGGGCAAGCACTGCAGCTGCCCCCCAAGTGAGACCCCTGTGTCCCCAGGTCAGGTCGCCTAATGTGCCCACCACTCCACAAAGATTAGCATTTCGGGGCGGAAGCAATTGATGGATGATTAAGACTCAAGTCTCAACTGATGAAAGAAACGGAGAGTCTGTGGTGGGCAAGGACAACTGCCCGGCGGTGAGATCCAAGTGGGCTGGCCTCAGCGCGGGGAGCCGCGCCTGCTCGGCAGGAGGGATCACCCAGCAGACAGCCCGCACGTCGGGGCAGGATGGGACTGCCGGGGGCTCTCGATGAGCGAAGAGCTCCAGCTTCAGCACTTGGTTTCCCTGGAAACCTTGTTGTATAGGCCTGTGGCTGGGGTTTAAGTGTCTCAATGTACCACAGCAACTGAGAAACCAGAAACCCATTCTTGCCGCTGCAAAGGAAAAACTCCGCACCACTAACAACTTGAGGGGGAAACCGGCTTGAATTTAAGATTCAACACCTACTCTTTACGAAGGATCTGACAACAGCAAGAAAAGCAGAGATGAACACTTGACGAATAATGATTCCTGAACCTGCACGTTCCTCTTATTCAGGGGCAATGGGAAACACCCCCATCAGGTCACTGTTTCCCCATCCGGCCTGGCTGGCATGAATCCCCGAGCCACTCTGGGCTCCTGCCTTCCAGCTTCCAGACCACTCGGTGTGCAAAAGGCAGCCCGCAGGTCAGACCAGGGTCTGGGAGGCTATGGAACTGGCCTGTGAGGACGGACAGGGGCCAATGCAGCCATGCCAGGAGGCCTCCAGGCCGGTGCTGCCCTGGGCGGCAGCCACTAGCCTCACGAGGCAAGTGAAACAAAACATGGAAGTCAGTGCCACCGCAGCCTCGGTCCAGGGGCTCAAGGCCTAGTGGGGCCACACCTCCTGACCATCTCCTGTCAGAGGTGCACATCTTAATCATTCAGACCGTAAGTTAATCGGGATACCCCTTGCTAAAGCCAGCACCTGGGCCAGCCAGCACCACACTGGTTCAGTGACCCACTGACAGCCCTGTGGGAGGCATTACCTGCTGCTCCTTCAGATCCGCCAAGTCCATCTTGTTGAGGACGAGCAAGTGAGGCTTGAGCCCGAGGGTTTCCTGAAACAGAGGGTTGCGGCCGGAAAGCGGGATGTAGTGAAATTAAGGCAAAATTCCTTCAAAGTTTTACCAGACAGTTAATTTATTTTGCCTTGTCTTGTCATGCAGACGGATGCACCGACAAAAGGAAATCCTCAGCAGGAAGTGACAGCAGAGGAAGCCCTGCCTGGGAGCCTGGGAGCAGGCTGGCTCCAACCAGCCCAGCTCAGCGCTGCGCCCAGCCCTGTCCTGACTCTCTCCAGGGCCACGGTGCACCGTAGGCCCCACACCGCTTTCTGCAGACACGTGGCGGAAGGCGAGCTGTGGCTCTCGTGTGGCTTCTCAAAGAGCATGACGGCAGCAGAAACAAAAACAAAGCTCAGTGGAAGTTTTCATAACTTGATCGTTGTTTAGCTGCCAGGTACCTAGGGTCACGATGATGCGATCGCTCAAAAAAAGTGCCTCCCATAAAGTCCTAACTAGTACATCTCAAACCACCACTGCCACCCTGGGGAGTCCCCACGGAGACCTTTGGGGAGCCCGCCTCCTGACCGCCAGGCCTTCTTCCCCCAGCCAGGGACCCAGAGGCTCACTGTAAGGTCCCACCTCCTGTGACACTAACACAGGCAGTGTCATCTTTATTTTGGGAGCACTCAGCCCCGGTCTAGTGTTCATCTCCTGGGAGTCCAGCTGTGAGACCCTCCCTCCAGCAGGCCTGGGGTCTACGTGCCCAGGTAAGTGGCTGTGTTCCCGCCCGCACAGCAAAGGGACCTTCCGTAAACAGCATTCTTCCCGGAGAGGCTAACCCAGCCTGTGCTGATTCAGACCCCAGAAGCCTCCGGCCTGGCTCACAGGCCGTCCTAGACGGGAAATCAGAACGTCTAGAGACCAAAAGGAGGAGAGGTAGCCTCTCGTCACGGTACCCAGAATAGCAACCACAGGTTCCATGGTTTTCAATACTCAGACATAAAAGTGCCAGTAAACCCTTCGGCTGGCACAAGATACTGTATGGATTGATCTATTTGGCCTGAAGTAGAGAAACTCAACACTTTACCACAGAAATTCTAACAAGCCCTTGAAATGGCGAGAATGGTTCCTCATCCTCCACCTTAGAGATGTAGCAACTCTCCAACCAACACCATTGTCATAAAAGGGGAACCTAAATGTAGCTTAAATAAATACAACAAAAACAGGGTCCAAAAAGTGCACTCATTACTGAACAACATTGTTACATCTCACCAACTCACGCCTCAAGCACAGTACGAAAGCCTGGCTGCCAGGAACATTTTCATCCAAGGTTCATCTCCAACCTGGAGAATCCTACTGCTGTACTGGCCTGGAAGGCGTGGGTGTGCCAGGCAGAGTCTGAGACCCACGGTGCTACCTGTGTATCAAGGGGGAGCTTCTGGGCCCCACACTGAGATGCTGATTCATTGGCCTGGAAAGGGGCCCGGATACCAGTATCTTCAAAAGCCTCGTGGGGGAATTCTAAAGTATAACGAGAACTGAGAACCAATGCTTCCGATGCCAACAACTATGACGGGTGACACTGCTGACCACTGTGGTGGCTGCCTGGACCAGAGCAAGGACCAGAGGAGGGACAGGGAACTGTCCTGAGCACTGCCTGATTCGGAAGGGTCTCCCCTGCCCCACTACAACTGTGCACTCACTTCCGGTGGGGTTGGGGGGTTCCCACACCGCCAAACAGTTCTGCGACACTAGCTGGGTGTCCTGCTATGCAACTCAGTTCTGACACCACCCGCCTGGAGATGGCGTCAGCTCCCACAGTAAGGGCTCAGGACTGCCTCACGCCCCTCCCCCCACTTCAGACACCAACTGCAGGTCCAGGCTGTCGCCTGTCACTTCTGACCAACGGGCTGTAGATCAGGGTCCCCACAACCTCTCCTTGGGTTTAATCAGTTTGCCAGAGTGGCTCAAAGAATTAAGAGAAACACTTTACTTACTAGATTACAGGTTCATTATAATAGCGAATAACTCAGGAATAGCCAGATGGAAGAGAGGTACAGGGTGAGGTGTGGGGAGGGACCCAGAGCTTCCCCACCTTCTCCAGGTGCTCCCCTGCCATCTCCACCCACTCAACAACCAGGAAGCTCTCCAGACCCATCCTTTTGGGTTCTTGTGGTGGCTTCACCACAGAGGTGAAACTGAGTCACTGGCCTTTGATGACTGAGCTCAACCTCCAGCCCCGCTGCCTTCCCTGAGGCCACAGGGTGGGACTGAAAGTTCTAACCTCCAGTATCAAGGCTGGTTCCCACCTGGAACTCCACCTACCCTGACCCTGACCCTGACCCTAACCCTCCACCTACCTTAACCAGCCTACAACAGGGCCTTCCCAAAATCACCAGTTAGCATGACAAAAGACACCTTTACTGTGTCCTCACGCAGGAAACTCCCAGAGCTGGAGGCGCCCTACACCTGGAAACAGGCAGAGACCAAACATGGCAATCCCCAAAGGATATACGGGCATCGTGGACCTCGATGATGCAGTCCACCAGCTTTAGGCTGCTCTGCATCCTCTTCAGCCCTGGAAAACAGAAGAAGGACACCTCAGGGAAGGGCCCATGGCCTTTTAAGAGAGAGAATTTAAGGTGAAATGTCAAGAATGACATACCATCACAAACAAGCTAAAAAGAATACATCTGAGTGAAGTGCTCTCAGTAACAGCTGGTAACTGTTCACTGAGAGCCTCCTTCAAATTCAACACAGGTGGCTCAGAGGAGCCGCTAAGGTCCCTGCCAGAGGGGCAGCCACACTCACAGGGTCAGGCCAGATCCTGTCAGTCTCCGCCACACCTACAAGTGCGTGACTCTAGCTGGGGTACTTAACCTCCATGCGTCTTGATCTATAAAACAGAGTAACACCAACTGGCATACTCACTGAGCCCTCAATACCGTGTGGAGATGGTGCTGTAGGTGAGACAGGAGGGAAGGGGGCAGGCACAGCCACTCAAGGAGTGACAGCAACCAAAACGGTGAAAGATTCACCTCCTAGTTGGCCTTGAGGATTAAGAGGTTTAACTTCTAGTGGACTTTTAGCTTCATTATATGCTCATTGTAACAGCATGATCAAATACCATGCCCACAGGCGCCATGACAGCCCCAAGGCTAACCAACGAAAGGCCAAAGAATGGTTGGTGGCCCAATCCCCGGGAATCCCAGCCCCTTCCCCAGGGCAGTTGGATTGATCCCACCTGTAGGCATGTGAAACTACTGAGACCATAAAAAGAGATACCACCTCGCCTAGTGGCCCCTTGCCCGCTCTCTCCCCTTTGGAAATGGCCTGCTCTCTGTCTGTGGAGTGTGTACCTACTTTTACTCTAACCTGGGCACCCAATTCCCACACCTCTTTCCTGGCCTTTCCTTGCCTTACACTCTATGCAGTGTGTATCTCTCTAAATAAATCTACCTTTACTCAACAGTGGCTCGCAGTTGAATTCTTTCCTGTGCGAAGCTAAGGACCCACACTTGGCGGGGCACGTCCCAGGGGATCAACCGGGACCTGGGACTCGGCCCTCCTCACGCCCCACATCCGTTTTCCTGCATCATGGGTACCGACCTCAGCCACTCACCCTGGACGGCTCACACACTCACACAGCACTGAACTCACCCCTAACCAGAGACAACACAAGCAACAAAAGTAACAGAGCTCCTTTTCCTGCAGTGTTCCCCTCCCCAGCCAAGCCCTGTCATCTGCGCACATCCCCAAACATCTTACATCACCCCCTCTCCCCCTCCCAAGTGCCACCACCCGCGGGTGCCCTGTCCCTCCTGAACCCCAGCATGCAGGGCACTTTGCACAGAGCCCGGCAGAGCAGGCACGCGGTGAACCAGAGGCACCAGAGGGAGCAGGAGCAGGAGCGAGGCAACCCCTAACACTAAGAAGGGCTGACTCCGTCCCAGGTGTCTTCTTCGGGCCAAATTTTGACAAGCACGCAAACTCCCGGAGAGGTTCAGACAAAAGACAACAATGACTCGATCTATAGTTTCAAAGATGCTGAGATGATTAAACAGCTGAATACAACTTGCAAAGTGCTTTCCTACCCCCACTTCACTTAGTCCTCAAAATACCGTTCAGGAAAGTGTATCTTTTCAGAAGAAGGCTTCGGGGAACCAAGCGGCAGAAGGGCCTTGCCGGGGATCAGGCACCAGGCCAGCCCGAGACGC